CTCACATGCGTCACTAGCGACTGTTGGAAATGCTTAACTTTAGGCGTTAAATATTTCATAACGTTTTTTGACTTAGTATAGAGACTTAGTATGTAAGATCCTTTGCAGAATCAGGCTGTATTTTCCTGCCTCCACATCTCTACCCTGCTGCTCCCTCTAACATTAGGCACCTGCCTGCTAATTCAAATGAAGCCATCCCCCTTCAGCACGAGATTTCACCCCAGACAACCGGAGGACAACGCTTGATTCAGGCTAGATGACTTGTCTAACTTGGCACTGCATGGCGGTGAAAGTGACATACAGACCGAGAAGGAGAGAGACCTACAGAGAGAGAGTAAGCTAGAGCAAATGTGAGACACATACAGACCGAGCTAGAGAAACATACAGAGAGTAAGCTCATTTCTACTCGTGGAAGGCGTTTTACTTGGCTGATTTAAAGAACTCATCTCAACGTGATTCTGGGTCACCATCTCCCTTGATGTTGCACCAAACCAGGCCAGCTACACAAAAGACTGTCGTCTGTTGTCTGTACCCAGCTAGCACACAACTTTTAGCCAGCTAGGACAAGTGATGGAAATGTTATTGACTCGGATCTTTCGAAATTTACAAATTCACTGATTTTACTTTACTTGTCTAAGGTGGTAAAGCCTAGAGCACAAACAAGAAACTGAACATGACTACTTATGCATTTTGAATCAAGCCATGATTCTGAAAATTGTTGGTTTCGCGCAATCATTCGCCTGGTTAGTAATTTGAATTAGAAAATTGTCATTGTCTAGGGCAGGAGTTGACAACATATAACACACAGCAGAAGGAGGCTATTCAAAGTACTGCCTTTGGAGGGAGGAGGGGTGAGTGAAAAGGGGTGTCGGATAGAATTTAGGAGAAGCGCACACGTGAAGGAGCGCACGTGAAGGGGCGCACGTGAAGGGGCGCACGTGCTACTACGCGAAAAATCAAGATTTTTTAAACAAGAAACAGGTTTATTCACCAACTGACCACTGGTTGCGGCATTTGAACACACATTTAAAACACAAACTGAGCAAAACACACAACACAAACAGTCAAGTGACTCTGGCCAATTTGGCATATGTACTGGGTGAACATAGAATATGTAGTATGTATCTGAATAGTGCAAATGAGCAGTGTCTAGATGTGTGAGCAGATTGCCCCATGGTGGGTAATGCGTGGGGGGGGGCAGTCTAGTGCTTGAGGCATATTCCTTAGACTCACCGCCATGAGGAAGAAGCTGTTCTTGTGGCGAGATGTTTTGGTCTTGATAGACCGTAGCTGTCTGCCACAGGGGAGAATTCTGAATAGCCCGTTAGCCGCATAGGAGGGGTCTGCCTCAATCTTTGCCGCCCGTCTCAGTGCAAGCAAGCATATTTATATAGCAATTTATATATCAATGTGCTTTACAAAGGAGAACATAAGCAACCCGTTTACTGGCATCATGTACATTTAAAACATTACATCTCCGTCTTAACTGTGTACATTTTATTCAGTGACGTGGCTTTGAACAGTTCTTTGAGGGACGGCAGCTTATAGCCAATGGTCCACTTCGCAGAGCGGATGATGCGTTGCAGTCTGTCTTTATCCTTGACAGTGGCTGCAGTGTACCAGACAGTGATGGAGGAGGTCAGGGTGGTCGTTGGCAGTAGAGTCTTTACTGTGCTTTCTTAGTGAGAGAGGTGATGTTCAGCTCCCGCTTGAGGTTCTGGGTGATGGTGTGGTCCAGGAAGCAAACGGACTCCACTGTGTTAACCGGAAAGCCACCCAGGACAATGGGACAAAAGTCAGCTGGGCTTCTCATTGGACATGATCTTATTATCTGAATAGTATTAGTTATCGTTTGAATAATATTCGTTCAACCGAAGTATGCGGTTTGAAAACGACAAGCACTACTCATGAGACACAAAGTAGTGGGCGTGTTCTCATTTCGGCTCAATGGCTGTTCGTGAAAGGAGCAAGTTTGCATATAGAGGAAGCATTGTGGCAGACAACACGCAGACGTCAAACAAAATTAATTACAGAACTAAAAGACAATATCAACACATAGCATTTAGTTTACTGGATGGATGACTAACCAGGAGGAAGCAGTGTGGCATACATGCAGAACTCAGATACAGAACTAGAAGACAATATCAACACATAACATTTAGTTTACCGGATGGAAGATTAACCGAGCACCTCGATACTACACACTGGGTATTGCGAAAGACTCCCAACACTTCTAGGAATAAATGCAGCCGACTGGGACACAGCCCACATGCATTTATTAATTCCTATTATAATTTGTTCTCTTATTAACTTCACCCAGACCGGCCAGAATTCCTCTCATGGTTTCTTCATAAGTTCTGACCTATTATTGAGTTTGACAGAGTCACTGTTCATCAACCTGGCCGTTGCTTTCTCTATGAGGTCTCTGGCTGGGTGTCTTTAAAAGCGCTTTGTGACAACTAACTTCAAAACATACATTTATAAAATACATGGGATTAGCTAAGCAACCCAGCTATATGCTATTTTATAACCTACTATTTTCTACACTCTCCAAATTTTGGTAGCATTTTGTGGCCAAATATTTTGTTCGTAGGCAACATTTATTCCGTAATTACATTCCAGCTTCTCTTGAACTGATCGACCTTGATTCACTTGCTAACACTAGGCTATGCCGCCTACTGATCAGCCAAAACATAAAAACCATCGGCTAATAAACTGTTGGTCTTCCACGTGATGAACAAAAACCAGGGCATGGTATATATATATATATATATATATATTTATAGGCTCTACAAGACCCTGTGTAGATGCTGCCACCAATACATAAGCATCCTGTAAGTCCTGTATAAGGCGAGGTGGAGTCGGTTAGTCCAGCACATCCCACAGATGCTCAATCGGGATTGGAGGCCAGGGCAACACCTTGAACTCTTCATTATGTCCTCAAACCTTTGCCACACTGCCCACATGGTTTAGGAGAGTGCCACAGTGTATTACTGACAGCCAAAAGGCACATGGCTCTGCTGGAGATCTAGCCAGGTACAGCCAAACATACACAAATACAATGAATAAAACAGGCCCTGAACCTCAGAATGTCTCAGATAAACTGTTCTCTGGTATTGTGATTCAATCATTTCCAAAGTAATGTGAAATTGTCATAAATGTTTCGATAGCCTGTGCGTCTCAAGCAACGTCACCAATTACAGCGCACACGGATGTGCACATTGCCTCATAGCACATTCTGCTATGCACCCACGGATTCCTCCCATTATTTAAACATGAGTTATTAAAAAGACCCTCATATCAAGATCATCTTACTTGAGCAATAAAAGTTACTGGTCTTCTGGGGTTTGGGACAATATGCCATAGCTCACTACTGGTCTTCTGGGGTTGGGACAATATGCCATAGCTCACTACTGGTCTTCTGGGGTTGGGACAATATGCCATAGCTCACTACTGGTCTTCTGGGGTTGGGACAATATGCCATAGCTCACTACTGGTCTTCTGGGGTTGGGACAATATGCCATAGCTCACTACTGGTCTTCTGGGGTTGGGACAATATGCCATAGCTCACTACTGGTCTTCTGGGGTTGGGACAATATGCCATAGCTCACTACTGGTCTTCTGGGGTTTGGGACAATATGATACCCTGAAATATATAATATTTTCCACTGCTCTATACTGAACACATTAACAGCAGGTGGTATTAATGTTTGCTTTTCCTGTTGAGCATTTAAAGTAAGTTCAAACTAAAAGCTGTCAAGTCAAATCGCATCTAGTCCCTGCTATTCACACACATCTAAACACGTTTACACAAGTGCAAGCAAACCGCTGTTCTTTATAGCCTTTTCATACATACAGGGTTGGGGACAGTTCTGTCTGGACACGGTCCTGATTCTAACGCTGCAATGACCCAACGTTCTTCCATTAGTTCTGTTTGGTCGCTTCAGACGTGCAGCTTCCAGACGATTTACTGCACAGCCCAGTTCTGCTGCTCATATATATTTCACAGCATACAGATGTCAACACAGCGGGGGTGAGTTAGTCACATCAAACACAAAGTAATAAAAAGAACTATAATAATAAAAACATGGACACATCCACGCACATAAAGACACACACACACACACACACACACACACACTTCAGTCCTGGTACCACCAGGCACTGAGGCATGCTGCCCATTCATATCAAAGTGGGCTCAAGTAAAGAGCTGTGTTGCTCCATGTCCAGACATAACAAGGGAGTTTCAAACAGAGAGAAAGGATTTATAAAACATCCAGCAGTACTTAGCTCAGCAGTGAGCCACTGCAGTGAGGCAGGGCCCTGCTTTATTTCTCATTAACAAAGGCATCAACAAACCTATTAACAACCTGAAGCGCATTAACAATGTGTTTCCTCCCCAGGTAGCTGCACTCAAATGACAAGTTCCTGAAATGGCTGTGCACACTACATATTAAGACAAGTTCCTCAAAAGGCTGAGAACGTTACATAGAATGACAAGTCGGGCTAAACTATTTTGGAAAATAATCTGATTGCAATTTTTTTTACCAATATTGTGATTGCAATTTAATATGTGATGATTTCTTTTTAAACCAAGCCTTTCTACTTCTGTATTACTCAACAAAGACAAGGAATACATAATTGTAGTAGGACCAACAAAATATTAGATAAATTAAACAAACTGTTCTTCATGTTATCAAGAATAATTATTTATTATTATAATGATAATAAGCCTGAAGTAAACATTACTTTAAAAGTCAATAACAAATCACACAAAGTTAAGTGCAGGTATCAGTGAGGTAGTCACGTTAGCTAGCCAGGGTTTGCACAATACCTTAGGCTGCGCAGCATCTTCTACTATTTCTGTAAAAAAAAATCCACACAACAGACCTACTGTTCCTTTTTTGACACTATTGTTTCCCTAGTGTCAGGATCTTTTTTTATCTAACCTTTATTTAACCAGGTAGGCCGATTGAGAACAAATTTGCAACGACGACCTGGGGAGAAGCAGGCGATTGGACCCAAGACATCATACACACAAAGCATGCACTCTACCACTGAGCTACCAACTCCACTTCATACATAATGACTCTACCCTGCTGCTGTGCTCTAATGTGCTCTACCCTGTTGCTGTGCTCTAATGTGCTCTACCCTGCTGCTGTGCTCTACCCTGCTGCTGTGCTCTACCCTGCTGCTGTGCTCTAATGTGCTCTACCCTGCTGCTGTGCTCTAATGTGCTCTACCCTGCTGCTGTGCTCTACCCTGCTGCTGTGCTCTACCCTGCTGCTGTGCTCTAATGTGCTCTACCCTGCTGCTGTGCTCTAATGTGCTCTTCTCTGCTTTTCACAACATCACAAGAGGAAAAAAAGAAACCTCACAATGGCCTCACAGGTCACACGCCTTCCTGCCATTTGAGCACAGGCCGTCAACACTGGGAGCTAGCTTCCTGTGCATGCAGAACCGCAGCCAGTGATAGAAGTAACAGGGCTAGACTAGCGTGTCGGGGGACAGCAGACAACCAAAGGCGTGATACAAGTGCTAGCAAGTTAGCGAACAACAGTGCTAGTCAGCGGGTGATTTGTTTGCACGTATCTCTATTGACAATTGATTTCTTATTGCATATTCATTCATACTAATAGCGCTAAAAAAATGTTTTTTTTTTGCAGAGGGCCGAACTCAATTGCATAAACAATCACGAAATGCCTAGAGTAGGAGACAATTAGCTTTAAAACTGCAACGTTTCACTGACTTATTGCCAAAAGGAAAGATACGTGGACTAACACCCTTCCCAATGCTAGTGAATGGGGGAGGCTGAAAGCAGCAGCTCTTCGTAAAACTAATTGGTGACTCGCGAGAATATACTTTTGTAGGAGTTCCTCGTCCAGGGGAGCATATACTGTTTGGGAAGCTTTGATTATAAAGTTTTAAAAACCCCTGCTGTAAATGTATGCTAATACAATGTGTCTCCTGTGGGGGTGTACTCCGGCAAGCTCTCCGAGGAACTGTTAGCAAGATTTATAATGTATAATGTATTCTACTTGTGTATTCTTGTTGTGTTTGTTTCTTTCCTATTAGCAACATAGAATCAATGCCACCACACACACAGAAGAATGCCCGCCCTGCACACATGCTGACCAAACCCAGAACAGTTCTGAACTGCTCTCCCAATCGGTTGAAAGCTGATGGCAGACCATGACGTGTTCAGTCAAATGTTCTCTCCCCGCAAACTAATGCATAGGCCTGCACACTTAATGTTATCCACGCTGTGCTAATGCAAAAATCAGTGAAGTAGCTTAATCTGCAGGCTTACTGGCCAATGCGGCAGGCAGATCTTGGGTCATCTATGTGGTGGATATTGACAGGGCACTAATCCACACACACACACACACACACACACACACAGACACACAGACACACAGACACACAGACACGTATGTATTCTCCCCTACAGTTCTGAGCCATAGGAAGCTCTGATCTGACCATCAACCAGGATAGCTTGGTCAACGTGTACGAACAAGGAACCAAAATCCCCACAAAAATATTAAAACCCTACCTGCGGTTGGGCTGTTCCAGTTGAGAAGAAACAATGTTAGGGTTGGGTTAGGACTAGGATATAGGGGACATTGATTTCAGGGTAAAGGTTACTATTCACGTCTCCACATGGACAGAAAAACAAATGTGTGACTAAAAAAGAAAGGGAAACAAAGGGAAAGACCTTTGTTCCTGAGCAATTATGGCTCCACCTGTGTGTGTGTGTGTGTTGGCCCATTGCTAACCATAGCCGACATCCAGTACTGATGCTAAGGAGAACCCTCTCAAGACATCAAACATTTAACAGGTTACACCAGAGTGCCAGGGAATAAATTAGCCTCTAAAAGCACATTTTGTCCAATAAGAGGCAGATAAATTAAATAGGCCAAGCGTATGCTGTTTTTCTTGAACCAAAAAAGGGTCACGTAAAGGTTGCAAGATTTGGAAAAACAAAACAAGCAAAACGCTACAGAGTAAGCAAAGTCAACCAAGCACAAACAGTTTACTAGTACTGTTGAAATTAGTTTGATGTCGTAAATATTGGGTAGTGGGCTCCTTCACTGAAGCAAAAAAGCCACATAAATGCATTGTAGTCGATTGTGGGGTGATACATCGAACAACAAACCACCATTCAATGACGTATATGAAGTAAAAACTTCCAGAATGCCTTCCAAGATGACTGAATTCCTGACATTTGACTACCTTAAATCAGGAACCATAGTTTCTACATGCATTTCGCCATGTAAATAATATACACCTGTTGATGAACAATCTAACTTGAATGTCACCAGAACCACAACAGTCAAGCCTGGTATACTCCCAACGATTGTAAACGATGTAAATACACAATGTTCAGCCTTAAAACACTGCTAAAATTATCATTTAAGATGTGCATGTACATGCTTTCATAGCTTTGTATTTGAGTAGAAGCCTAAACTAATAACTATTTTTTACTTTGTGTAGGTAGTTCATGTGTTATTCTTGTCCAAATATAAGGATCCCAGGGGTCTTCCCTCATCACAACTTTGCACATCAGAACAATCTCATCAATTTAAATTGCCACTCGTCCTTCCTACATGTCAGTAAAGGGTGTAGAGACCACGGATGCATCCGAAATCGCAAGCCTTAAGAAGTGGCATTGGAACATTTACGATCAAGCGAAGAAGAAATTCCCCCTAATATGTTGAGCATTTTCCCGCAATTGGGGCGCATGTTATGCGCAATGTTGGCAGCGGCATCAATGTTAGAGACTAATTACTTATCAGCAGTTGAAAAACGTTGATGTAACGGTAAAGTCGGGCGAACGGTAAAGTCGGGCGAACAGCTCAAACGAGGTAGAGACACATGCCTTCTTGGCACCCCTCCCTCCATCCGGATGCCGCGCTCATCACTGCGCCGAAAATACCTCCTGTCTTTGCCCCGGTTCTTTTTAATCAATTCAGATAAACCGGTACACATTTCTAAACCTTCCCTTCCGGCTACTCACCTTTCCAGTGTTATCAATAGTTCCAATTTCACTCACTGGGATGAGGAGAACTCGGAGAGGTGAATATGCCCCGGAGCCTGCCGCAGCGTCCCCGTCCAGAGGCTGAACTAGTGTCTGTACAGACCAGACGCCAGGGAGGGAGGGTTAGAACCGCAGCTCCCTGTCGGTAGTAGCTGAGCGCTACAGAGGTCACTCCTTAAGGGCGGGGCTGTGGGGAGGCGGGGCTGGGGGAGGCGGGGGGAGGAGCCTGAAGCAAAACGCAGACGGACAGGACAGGACAGGACAGACTGTCCAGCATCTTGGAGGAATCACAAAAATTTACATTTACTGTAATGTGCAATAGTTGTGGCCGCTAAGTACAATCCATTTATTAAATTGAAAAACATCAGTGCAAAGTGCACATTCTAATGGAGTGCCATTAGTCGGAATTTTATATATGGTTATGAAATAAGTATAAAAGGCAATGTATAAATGAAAAGGTTTGTTTTTCAAATGACTACTTTTATTTATTTCAGAGCTAGGATGGTTGTTTTATAACGCCACTTTTTATATTTCAAGGGACTTCTATTTCATAATGCCACATTTATTTCAAGGGACTTCTTTTATAATAATAACATGACTTATTTGTATCTGGTATATTTAAATGAATGGGGCGTGGCTAACTCACAGACAGCAATTTCAATACATGAGAATGCGGTAAAAACTTCTGCCTGATCGAAGGATAGATCGTTGTCATCAGATGTTGTCATGCTGAAAGATTAATCTTCCACCCAGTCTGCATCCTGAACAGTCTCTTAGTCCCTGGATTTATCTTCCGTCCAGTCTGCGACCAGAGAAATCTCCTAGTCCCTGTCGCTGAGAAGTATCCCCATAACATAACCAGCATGTCAGAACACTCTATAACCCACATTTTAGACACATACATTCATTCAGGCATTTCTTTAAAACATTAAGGTAGCATCAATGGCAGATTTTGTACAAAAACTAGCATAAAATAGGTAAACAATTATTCCCTGTGGTTAAAATAACACTGCACAGCATAAACTTCAGCATTGGATATTCTTAGTGGTCGTCTTGCCAATCTGCTGTATATAGGTCAGGAGTGGTTGTGGCTTGTCACAGCGGTTATATTGTTACTGTTCCTAAACCCAGCTTTCCCACCACTCTATTTTTTTCTATTCCTTCTTATTTTTCACCTGTTCTGTATCTACATCAACCCCAACAATACTTTTTTTTATTTTCGTCTTTCTCATCCTCAAATCTATAGCTCCTTTTATCCTTGACCTTTTCCTTTCCCCAAATCCCACCGTAGATGTGGAGGCTACGTGTTTCAGCAGTATGTAGCAAAATACCTTTTCAAATTGAATGACGTCATTCAATGGCTGGTGGCTCTACTGATGATCAACATTAAGGGAGTGCAAAGCTCACATAATAACACACACAATAACCAACAAATGTTCTATACACAAAAAGAAGCTTTCACACACACAATAACAAACAGATCAAGGGTCAGTCTGAAAATAATAATTGTGTAAATCTCTCTCTCTAAATTTCCTGGTGTCCTGTTTGACCTTGGACCATGTCTCAGGATGACCTGTCCTAAATGAGATGTATCTGTTCCTGTCCAAAGTCCTCCTGGATGTGTTGCAGATCAAGTTGCTGTCTGGGGATTCTTGTGGCCATTTCCCACAGCCCACCTGACTGTTCTGTCCTTGTCTATTGGTTATTCTGCTGACTTGGATTTTAAGGACTTCGGTCATTGCTCAAACGTCTGCTTTTATTTATTTAATAAAGAGTTGTGCTGTGCTGGCCTGTTCAAATGTAGGTGTCAGCAATACACAGAGACAAGGGGTAGATCCAAATGCAAAGCACTCCGCCTTTTATTTTAAACACGATCCAGAAATCATAGTCAGAGCCAGGCAGAGACAAAAGGTATATAAGAAGACTACAGTACAAGAAGGGCCAGGCAGAGACGAACGGTATACAAGAAGACTACAGAACAAGAAGAGCCAGGCAGAGACGAACGGTATATAAGAAGACTACAATACGAGAAGAG